TAGTGGCACTTTAATGTTTCTGCCCATCCATCCATCTATCTGCCTGCTTGGTTGTAGGTCTAAAATCCTTCCAATAGAAAGACCTGTTCATTCAAAGCAATTAGCCAAAGGAGACCTATTCTTTTAACTTATGAAAGTGCATTCAGTAATAATATAACATTTCTTGTGTCTGTATTACATGCCCTTATGTACATGTGTTAAATGTGATTTGTTTTAGGTGCACGTGAGCGTCAGCAACTGCTGGCAGTTTTTGCTTTAAGTAACAAGTACCAACCATCAGATGTTGCTCTCGTTGTTACCTCACAACTTCATATGACCATGTTCAACATGTGCCAGGAAAGCCTGTTGGCCATTCAGCCCGGTCCTTATCACAAAACACAAGTTGACAACACTACACAACTGTCTGTTGTCTTACAAGTTGCCTGTTGGAGACTTCTGCACATAATCGCAGTAACAGCTGGGTCAGTTTGTTGTCCTTTACTTTATATCTTTTCCTAGACCATCTTTGACAAAGTGACAGCCAAGAGAGCCAGCAAGTTCATGGCATTTATTTACACACAAGTCACTTGTGTGTAGATGGTGAGATCTCCTGGCACATTCTCAAACAATAGAATTACAAACTTTGTTGATTTAAAACTAATTTTTACAAGGCTAAAAAAGTTTAAAATAGTGAAAAAGTGGAAAACCAAACCTTTAAACATCATGTCATCTTCAGGACAAGTAAAAGCTGTCGGCTACTTGCATAAGTTACACCATGTATATCCGTTAGGTAATTCCTGATGGGAACAGTTTTGCCATGTAACAGTGAATTTGTTTGTTTAAGCTGGTTGCCATTGTTGAATCATTATGCCTTCTAGGATTCTTTTCTTGTGAAAAGATTGGGTTGTGCAGATTATGTGCCAGCTATGAGAATGTAAATGATTCTTGCGTAGGTGACCGGCAGGTTCAAAGTCATTTCATCTGTTTGAATGTTCATCAATTTGCATTCCTTAAGTCATGGTCTTGTGATGTAACTGTCACTCCAAGAGCACTCTCCTTTGCAGACCACAAGTGATCTACTGTATGAGTGTGTTTGTCTGTAATGTTGAAAAGGCTTTGGACTCTTGTTTGCCTAAGGACAAGGATTGATGTAGTTGTCACATACATGTAACCACATGAATAATTTATGTATACTGACATGGAATGTGCAATGTGCATTGTTCATTTACGTTGATATCAATCACGCTTTTAGCGATGATGTGAAAAGTCGGTATCCAAAATGTGCCAAGAGTTTGCTTAAACGAACAATTTTTAAAGCAACTTGTTAAATAAAACAACTTTCTTTCAGAAGTGGGCATCCACAGGACAGCTGGACACCCATCTAGCTAAAATCCCGGTTTTTCAATTTATTTTTTCCATTTTAGAATGATGCCTTTTGTATCTTTTTTCAAAGCAGTTGTCAATGATTTATACTTTTCTTTTCTCATTAGGATGTTTGCTGATAAGCTGAGTGATCACATCATTCAAAGTGTTATTGATTTGCTGTATGAGCAACTAAAGTTACTGTTGGAGAATGCCAGCAAGTTAATCTTATTGGAAATATCTGAAAATGCTTCTGAGTCTGTCCTTGAGCAAAGACAGGGTGAAAGATCACACAAACATAAACAACACGAAGGAGCACTTTGTTACTTCATGAAATTCCTGCGCAGAGTTGCAGTCAATAAAGCAGCACAGCAGAAGCTTGTCTCCAGAGATTGGCTGGGGTTATTTATGGCTGTTGTTTCATTTCCTAGCGAGAAAAAGGAATTTTCTCACTTCAGTCTACGGACAAGAATGCTGACTTTTCATTTATTGACGTTTGTTCTTCCAGCATGTGAAGATGACATCTTAATTGGAACAGTGAGTATAATGGTTTCCCATTGGATACAGATTTTCTTACTAGACATCACAGGTCATCACTCCAAATTCAATCTTCATGGATGTACATTGACATATGCATACATGTATTAATAGCACAATCATTTTGTAAAGCCAGCTCAGGACAAAAACTGTGGGTACAGTCTGCTTGTGCAGACAAAAGCTTGCCATCAACTGGGTCCTCTGGTTGAACAATACTATACCATTATGATAATTTATGAATTTCCAAAAAGATAGAAATACATGAATGTATTGTCCTTCTTTATACGTGTCATGCTATCCTCTCTCTTATAATCAGATTACTAAGCAGCTCTTCCAGAACATTGGTGATTACACATGGAACATTCCACCTTTCCCTTATGTACTTCACGATGAAAGCAACTCAGGATTTACAGCAAATGTGGACCAAGTGCCTGTTAATGATGTCATGTTTGATACTGACAAGTTACAAGCCTGCAGTGTGGAGAATGGTGTCACAGTTGTTCACAGTAGTGCAAGGAGAGGGTATGGACTGGCTGGACTTGGCATCAGGTCAGGATGCTATGAATGGAAGGTAGCTACTATAAAAAGTTGTACTGAAATGTGTATATTGGCAGCCTCGATAAATAACTGTAGTTAGACTTGAGGGACCAGGGGTTTCAATAAGTTTTGGCACATGAGGGTAGTTTAGAAAAAGAGGCGGGTAGTTTCTTGGAAGGCCCTCTGGGCCTTCCCAACTAGGGGGGTCCAGGGGGCATGCTCCCCCGGCAAATTTTGAAATTCTAGACTCTCGCAGATGCATTTTCCTGCATTTTGAGGCCTATTTTTATGTTGCTTTGTTGTTCCTAGAAGTCAATCAATTAGAAAGACAAGGTTGATAACATGTGGTATTTTAATTCTTTGTATGCAAATTGATTTGTGATTGATACATCATATTTCACCACGAAAAGAAGCATAATATTAAAGTTTAAACACGGAAATGTGTCCCTTTCAATATACTCAACTAACCTTGCAAAGAATCATTCTTCTTTGACCTCATTTGTTTTGACGCTGGAGCGAAATATGCTAACAAGAAGATCTTTTAGATCTTTCAACCGTGATTTTAAGAGTTAACTGTTTTGGTAGCACTACAGTCGCAATGCAGTTCACATTCCAAAGCAGTCCTTGATGATTCATTGATTACTGTAGACACCACATCACTTGATCAACACAACCTGTATTATTGCACCATCAGTTGTAGCTGTTGTGAAATCTACGATTACGTAATTACTTCCGACACATGTCATAATATGGGATCATGAGTGACCCGAAGGAAAAAAAAAATGAAAAAACAAAAATCGGTTTTGAACCTATTTCCGGCAAATTTGGCACACCAGAAGCTGAGAAAATTACCCTATATCCGGCCATTTTTCCAGCTCTTTTCGTGATATCCCCCCCTTGGGAGAGTTTTTAAAGTTAGGGAATTAGTATGCAAGCCACCGTAATGGTGGTTGCCGTCAGCGAAATGTTTATTTGCTCAAAAATTGCGGCCAAATCTTTCAGTGATGGAAGTCAGGACATTTGTAAGGATACAGAAAGTAATTTGGGACCAGTTGCTGGCTTGTAAGGCTGAAATTATCCAGAAGTAAGCTTTTTTTTAACTTAAATGTAACGAAGGCCACATGGTGAACAAATTGAATAAATTAACGGATCTTCGCACTGTCTCGTTCTGTTTTTCGTTTCGTTCTCATTTGGAGCCCGCCGAGGTCATTTTTTCGTCTAAATTACTAAAGAAAAGTTTGAAAAAGATGTTCCTATTCAATTTTTAGCTCTCAGGCAATAATCCTGGATTTTTTTGACCGAAACGTCGGTGCGTGTTATGTTCGTGTGTTTCAGTTGCTATGAGTGACTGTCACTTCCTTTGTTGACTTAAGCAGTGAAGGGAGGTGACAAAAAAACAAAGTAATTATATTTAGTTCTGGCTTTGTTCGATTTCGTTGAAATTTTAATATGATGAAGCTGGATTGTTAAGGAATAGATTTTACTAGTGCCGATGTGAGATAGCTATTAATGCTAAAATGATATATTGCTTCGAAGTCAGGGTTTTGAAGAGATTTTTTTGCAAAGCGTGGGTTGGGTGTGACTTTGTAATCTAAGATTTTTGTTGACCCCAAAGCAAAAATTTCATCGATGATTCAAACGAATATAAATTTATATATGTTCCGAGCTGAATTTCTGGTGAAAAAACATATTTTTGATGAGCGCTGGGTTTTTAATTTTTTTTCCCGCAAAAGTGTCGGCCAGGAAAGAGGACGTAATGGTCTTTTAGAACTTTCTTCGGGATATATATAGGCATGAATGATACGATAATAACACTATTAACAACAGCTTGCTTTCTTAGAAGTCATGATTGAATTTAATTGGTTTTTTCCATGAATATAGGGCTAGCAAAGTTAAGTCTCACAAGTCACATAATTCAAGAACTCCGTTATCCACAGTATCTTTAGTAAGGTTGTTTTTTCCCTACCAATGACGTAATCCTTGCACATTCTGACACGTTGTTTGCTTGGCTTGCAAATATTTAATTTTCTCTCCAACCACTGAACTCGCTGCGATGAAACAGCCAAAGAATTCGCTTCATTTGCCTTAACCCACAAGAAATACTTGCAAAATTGCAAATAAATTAATGACCGTCACTTCTGCAGAAATAAACTTGCAAAGTAAACACGATCTTATTTGTCAGGTAGCGAAAATGAAAGCTGCAATGCCAGTGCATTCCCTGGCTGATGTAATACCCATTTTTAGTGTTTTTAGCGTATTTATTATTTCCCTTCGAACCCAACGCTTCGATAAAACCAAAAGAAAATATGTTACACACAATAAAGAAAACAAGATCCGTAACATTGTCCATGTATTAATGTTTCAACAGCTTTTGGTGAATAAACATCACAGGTTGTGTGATTCAAAATTTGGCTGAGAGGAAGTTTGGGTCTGGTCACTGACAAAAAAAAATAATAATAAACCCGGTGTAAACCTAGAACCGTGCTGGGCCCATGGCCACACAGATTAAAAAAAAAAAACCCACGGGTAGAACATGAACCACGTTCGGCCCATGGCTGGGCTGTTAAAGACAATTGCCTTTTGGCAGCTATTATTATTCATGCTTAGTCCCAGTTTCCTCTCAATTTCAGCTGAAGTGCCTGGCACATTTTTTCACTTTGTATTGAAGCGATTGTTCTCGCACGTTAGGTTACACTTTCCTTCATCTTTCGTGGTCCGAAAGGCTGGGTTAACACTAGAAAGTTTTTTTCTTGTACCGCTCTTTTTCTTTACCGATAACATAAGACTTATTTTGCCAAATTTCTTGAAGAGAATCCTTAGCTGCGAGGAAATTATCTGGTCTTAGTTATTTGTGAATAGCTACCCGCTACCCGGCTATTATTGAAACCCTTGGGGACGTTTGGTAGTAGGCTAAGTTTAGACAAGCAGCAATGTTTCAGAGCTGCCAACAGCTGCAGACAGTTGTTTTGACCTTGTTGAGATGATGCGTACAGCATGAGTGCTCCAGGAAATATTGTGATCTTTGTGGGATTATGCTAAGTTATGGTCAGTCAGTATATTTCAATCACTACACTAGAGGAATTCCGTCTCGTAGTGTGTGTGTGTGTTTTTTTTACTTTGTTAACAAATGAATTGAAGGGGTGAGTGCAAAACCATGCTAAGTGACGATTTGAGTGTAAAAAAATTTTTGCGAAAGGGCTTGAATTTTTGCATGTGGTCTTCAATGTAATAGAAAAACGTGGTCCTGTATTTTTCTGGCTGGTTTTTGCTTCATTTATGAAGACGCCGCTAGGAAAACCGAGTGGTTTTTTTGCATATGCAATATCTCGAAAACGAAGCAAAGCTTAGCGGAAAAACTATGGGACATTGCTAAACATCCCTAAACAAAACTGCATGCAAAATTTGGAGCGTTTTCGACAAAGTTCAC